GCTATAACTAATGACACAATAATAGAGATGATATGAATTCCTAAAAACAAATTATACAATTGAAAATAAAGCTGGAGAACCAGTGGGGAAAAACAAAATAGAAGCATAAAAAATGGTGAGATAGTATATTTAATAATTACATTAAGTGTAAGTGGTTTAAACACTCCAACTAAAGGCAGAGATGGAAGGTCCTGAAGGTGGCACAAATGGCTTGTGCTGGACTGGTTATCTGAACCTATTCAGCAGCACTACAGAAGAAAGAGACCTGGTTATCTATCTGCTGCTGTAAAGAGCCAAGAAAATCTTATGGGCCAGTTCTACTCTGTAATACACGGGGTCTCCTAAGTCATAAATCAACAACAAAGGCAGATTGAGTAGACTTGATACAAGAGTAAGGCTTACATACGTTGAATGTAAGAAACTAATTTAAAATTAATTTTTAAAAGTCCAGAAAAACAACAGAAAGAATCAAGAAGACAAGAAGTTGGTTCTTTGAAAGGATTAACAAAATCGATAAACCATGGACACACTTACCAAAGGAAAAGAAAGAAATGCAAGGAGCATGGGAGAGACAAGGACACTCATACCCTGCGCTTTTGGGACTGTAAAATCACAACCACTGTGGACACCAGCATGGTGGCTTCCTCAAGCAAATGGGAGTAGAAAGACCACATGATCCGGCAATAGTACTACATGGCACATATCTTACAGAAATAGAGAACATAACATGAATACACATATACACATCCATGTTCATTGCAGCACTACTTACAATGGCAAGAAGATGGAAACAACCTAGTTAGATGCCTATCAGTGGAAGAATGAGTAAATAAACTTTGGTATATACGTATAATGGAGTAGTACACATCATTAAATAGTGGAAAACTGTGAAACACTTCAGGTGGATGGATTTAGAGGACATTATGCTGAGTGAAGTTAGTCAAATGCATAAGGACAAACATTGTATGAGACCACTGTTCTCTGTGTGTGTATATACATATACACACACATATATACATATACACACACATATATATGCATACACACACAAAAAAAATATATAATTAAGAAAATGCTCTTATACCAAAAGAAACAGACTTTAATGGTTGCCAGGAAGGATGGTCAGGGGTGGAAGAGAGGGGGAGGGAGCTACAGACTACAGGATAGACAGGTGTTAACTTGGGTGAAGGGGGAGACAGGACACTACATGAGGGAGATGGGGAAAAAAAGGGTGAGAAGGACACAGGGAAGCCTAGAAAGTTCAAGTTGTTTAAGCTGTTAAGTGCAAAAACTATATCTGATATATCACACTCCACCTAATTCACAATAAAAAGTTTGGAAAAAAAAAGAAATACATTTTAAATAAAAATATAGAGGTACCTTAAAATAAAAGAAAGTAATATGATTTACCAGGTAAACACTAATCATGAGAAAAAAAGAATCTATATATTAATATCAAAGTATTCATATATAGAACAAAGAATATCACAAAAGAGGCACATTTCACAATGTCAAAAAGGTCAATTCATCACTAACTAACGTAGGTGTGTATCACACCAATAATACTTATGGAGCTTACCAAGATGTGAAGCAAAAACTATATTCTTGAGCTGAAAGGAGAAAAAGACTAATGCACAATTGCAGTGGGTAACTTCAATATTCCTCTCTCAATAATTAGTAAATAAAAAATCAGTTAAGCATATAGAAGACCTGAATAATATTATAAACCAACTTGACTAACACGTACAGAACACTCTTCCAGATGACAGCAGAACACCCACTGGTTTCAAGTGTACCAAACAATCAAGACCAATCATATGCTAGGTAACAAAACAAGCCCTATACCTTTAAAAGGACTGAGATAATACTAAGTATGTTGTTTCGTCACGAGGGTTATGAATTAAAATCAAGTACAGAATGGTATCTGGGAACCCCTAAATATTTGAAAATTAACAACATCCTTCTAAATAATTCAAATAAGAAATCACAAGGGAAATAAAAATGTATTTTGAAATAAATTAAGACAAAAATACAACCTATCAAAAAGTTTTGCATGTAGCTAGGTCAGTAGTGGTAAACTTATAGCTTCAAATATTTATAATAAAAAGAAAAGTATATGTTTATAATTTGTATAAATAAAACGTGTATAAACAAAATGGTGAAAGGTTGGATAGTTTCTTTTAACATCGTGAACAAGAAATAAATGTCTGATTTTACCAGTTTTTAAAACACTGCATCAATGCACTGAAACAAGAAAGAAAACAAAATATCTAGATTATAAATGAAGTAAAACTATTTTTATGGACTTTCAATAAAAAATCGGAAATTGAAACGGAAAATAACATTCAGGAGAACTTTAAACATATAAAATCTGATAGAAGATATACAAAACCTTTAAACCGAAAGCTACAAAACAGTGCTGAGGATGGACAACAGAAAAGTGGGTGAAGGGAGACATCGGACAGTGTAAAATATAACAAAATAGACTAATCCTATACCTGGCCCTAATCCTAACCCTAACCTGAACCTTGGGCCTAGTCCTAATGCTAACCCTACCCTACCCCTACTCCAACCCTATCCCTGACCCTGACACTAACCCTCACCCTAACTCTGACCCTATCCCTAACCCTAACCATGGCCTTAACCGTGAACTAAAAAGAAGAAAAAGAGATATGGCAAAATGATAATAATTTATAAATTATTAAGGATTCATGAGGGATGGGGGAGCAGTTAGGGAGGGGGGAAAATGAGGAGCTGATACCAAGGGCTCAAGCAGAAAGCAAATGTTTTGAGAATGATGATGGCAACAAACGTACAAATGTGCTTGACACAATGGGTATATGTATGGATGTGATGAGTTGTACGA